TCTAATATTCCAACATTGATTTTTAATGTACAACTTGATGAAAATAATACCGAACATTTAAGATCAAGATTAATTGAGTGGAATTCTTTGATTGAATCAAATGCAAAAAAAAGTAAAATTGGTTCTGGTGATGGAGACCATTGAAGAAATTGATATGTATCACCATCATTTAATAGGCCCAAACCACCTGAATAATAATAAACAAAAAAACAAATTTTTGTGAATAGAACTAAATTTTTTTAGTTTTTAACCTCGAACAGATGAATTTGTAATTAATCCATCATATTTTATATCAGAATTAATAATTGATTTTTGAGAAAAACGTGTCGAGATAAGACCATCTAAATAGATATTTTTTTTCTTACGTAGTTTTTTTTAATTAAAATATGTTTTTTTTCCGCTAATTATTACTTTGAGACTGACAACCAAATAGTTGAATAATTGCGCATGTAGACGTCGATGCTGTTATAAAAATAATTCGTACTTGTCGGGCTACAATTGATGGAAGAAATGTACGTGTTGTATTAGAGTTATCATTATCATTAAAAAATAAACGACGTCGTTCAATAAATAACTAGAATGAAAAATCAAATATTCTTTTAGATATTTTTTTGCTTTCGATTTATTTAAAGAAAGAAAACTTTTCGTTGTCGACGTTGTCCATAAACTCGCCATGGTCCATCTTGTGTTCGTCGATATTCCAAAAAATATGATCCTTTCTTCTAAACATTAAAGAAAATTTCAATTAATTTTAAAAGACATTATTTTTTATTTTACATACAGGACTAGTTTCTTGATTTTCATTGTGATTTTGAACAAATATACCTGTTATCTGTGTCAGTGTTGGTATATCTAATTGTATAATAGGAGATGATGTATATCCACCAATATGTATTGAACATGATGAACAATAAATTGAGGATTTCTGCTGTCGTCCATTAAGATGAATTGGATCATTACATATGTTACTATGAACTAATAGACATTATTAATATTTATTAATATTAAGAATTAAGTTTTGATTATACCTAATAATGGATATAAGAACAGTTGAAGAAGAGTAATAAAATTCATTGATGTCGGTCACCCTCAAGAATCAATCACTTGTATATGTAAATGCTCTCTTCACATAATATTAGAGTGTGAAACAGGAGAAAAAAACGAAACGAAACGAGAAGAAGAAGAAGAAGAAACAACAAACTATCACCTGTTTGTTATATTTTATTCATCTATTTTCATGGCCTATTCACTCTGGCATTGAACCTTGTTATTTCATCATCGTATCAAATTGATATTAATTCCAAATGTTCTCCTCTTTTCTTTTTCTTTTCTTTTACAATAATGTTCATTACTATTTCATCACTACTTGATTTTACTTTAAGGAAATTTATGATTTAATTGATTTTGCTTCACTTACTCATATAGAAATGTCTGCTGGCCTTCATTCAACATTTTCTACATTGATTATGTATACAAACATTTACCATACGATAACATAGTAATTACTCGAAGGAGATACGAGCAATTATAACAATTTTAATGCCCACATGTATACGACTGTTTCGAACACTGAGTATCATCATTAAGGTTATAATGTGTAGCAGAACTAAACGTGGACAAAGTCAACGTTAGAAGAAAAAAAACATAAATGAACTCAAAGGTAGAGATAGACAAGGCTGATAAATTGGTAGATTACACATGAGTATTCATAGTAAAAAACGAAAAAAAAAAGAAAGAAAGAAGACACACAAACAAAAAATAAACACATTTTTAAAAGATCGTGTCTGAACATTCATCAGTGTATGTATGTGAATAAGGAGACCAACGAGAAGACATTGAAAATGCTGGAGATTTTTTTAAAATATTCTTATACTAAAGAAAAGTAAATATTACTTTTTTTT